TCATGAGGAGCGGAGTATGAACGCCTACATCACACCAAAGAGGATGCGTTCAACTTTTTCATCTTAGAGTTTTTGCATTTCTTTGTAAACCTAAAGAGGTATGATGTACTCAAACTTTGATTTATTAATATAATGTGCATTCCTTTTTGGTCTAAAGCAAATTTAAATCTCTAATTTCCTTGAAATCATTGCATATGCATCTTCATTCATCATAATATAAGAAAGCTTCTTACAATAGGCCTCCTCATCTTTCTACTATTTATTTCAGTGAGATGGACATGGAACAGACGGTAAAAGATCTCCAGGCGCATAATGCCCAGTTTCAAAAAATGTTATTGACTTTGGCAAAAGGACAAGAGGATTTGAAAACTTTGCTGATCGAAGAAAAGAAGAAGAAAGCAAAGAAATCAACTGATGTTTTGAATCTGGGAAGAAGGTTCCCGGGGCCAGCCAGACGGACCCTAGACTTCGCAACATCATCAGGTGAAAAGGATAATCAAGAAGGGAAAAACAAGGAAGTAATTACCCATCCAGAATCTGAAGAGGAAGAAGACGATGACTACTCTGAAGAACAATATCCACCGGCTGACGACAAATAGAATATCTGGAAGAACGTCTAAGTGCAATGGAGATTCAGAAAGTGTCTGAGCTGGACTTTGAAGAGCTGGGTTTGGTGTCTGGGATTTTTATTCCACCAAAGTTTAAGGCACCAGTGTTTGTTAAGCACGACGGGGTTTCGTGTCCCAAGATGCACCTCCGATCTTATGTGAGAAAGATACAGCCTCACACTGCTGACAGAGATTTATGGGTCCACTTCTTTCAGGATAATCTATCCGGGACTCAGCTAGATTGGTTCTATCAACTGGAGAGGGCCAATATCCATAATTGGGAAGACCTTGCCTCTGCTTTTTATAAGCAATATCAATACAACACAGACCTTGCTCCTACCCGTACTCAACTCCAAATTCTGACTATGGGTTCAAACGAGGGTTTCAAAGACTATGCTCAGAAATGGAGGGACTTAGCAGGAAGAGTCCATCCTCCCTGTCTGACAGAGAACTGGTAGACATGTTTTTGGGTACCCTGTCCGGTCCTTTCTTTAATCACCTAATTAGAAGCTCCTCTGTCGGCTTCACTGAATTAATCTTGACTGGGGAAAGAGTGGAAGCTGGGATTACGAGTGGGAAGATCCAAAAAGCACATCCTCAAGTGCCGTGAGAAAACCATTCATTAGGAAGAAAGAGGTTGGTGCTGTGTACCCTCAAAGGAATCAGGACAGAACTGAACACCGTCCAGTGGTAGGAGCCGTCATGATCCCTAAGCCTGCACCTACTCAACAAAGGAATAACCAGCCTAGAACGGAAAAACCAGTAAGACAATTTACCCGAATAAATATGACGCTGTCTCAAGTCCTGCCACATTTATTGAGATCTAATCTGGTAACTTTGAAGGAAGCCCTGAAGAATCCCAACACCGCCTCTCCTTATTACAACCCTAATGCTTGTCGTGCTTACCATTCAGATAGTCCAGGTGTTGGCTGAAGATTTTGATAAAGTTATTTAGAAGCCAAAAGGGATAAACGTTCTGATCGAAATGGAATTAAACGCCATGTTTCAAAGTTGCAGAAGCAGTGTCTCGAATAAGTGTGTCAAAGCTTGAAGCTTCGAACGGCAATTATGAGAACATATCCAAAGGAGTCTCGAAACAACAGCAAGGCTATGTTTGGAAAGAACGCTCGAAATAGAGAGACACCAAAAGCATTTAAAAATTCAAATGGAAGCGGGACTTTCAAAGTTTGAAAGTTATGTGTTGGAGCATTTGGGGACACGTGGAAAGATGAAAGAAGCATTGTCTTGCATGTTCGAAACATGGCATAATCCTGTAGCGAGACCGTTAGGGTCGAATTAGTATAAATAGAAGTCTTAGTATTAGGATTTCAGGGTGTCATATCTGTTATACAAAATACTCAATAACATTCAAACTACCACATGGCAAGGGAAACGAATGCAAGAGAAATGTATGTATGATAGCACCATGTATTTCTAACTTAATGAAAGCCTTTTTACCATTTCCAATATTTTCTTCTTTTCTTTTTGTCGAATAACATTTGCAAGTTTTCTTATTTACTATCTTTTCATTTCAAAGTCTTTTCCTCAAAGTTTTATGTTTTACTGTTTTCTTTATATTTCGAGCAGTTTATACTTCAGAGAACTGTCACATTTTCAATACCTTTACTTTCAAGTATTGTTCTTCAAGCGCATACTTTTATTTAAAATCATTTACAGATTTCTTGCATTAAACGCTTTCTTCACATTTTAAACTTCTACCTTCCAGAAACCTTTTATGTTAAACGTTTTGTAAGTCGAAACTATTTACTTCATTTTTCATTCAGTTTTATATGTCTCTACAATCAGCATTACAATTAGCATTTATTCGTATAACTTAGTTTTCATATACATTTTGACCACAATTTTAAACTCTTAGAGAGAGATCGAAGTAAGCCAAACACTTGTACAATAGCAACCATGAATAATTGTTCGATTGTGAGAGTAACCTTAATATCCAAGGAGTCTTAGGATCAATCTAGTCGATCCTGTGAGTTACCAGAGAGATTGAATAACGTTAAGAAAGATTATTCGATAGTTTGGAAGACTAGCAGTTGTTTACCAGAAATCACTGGAAACACCAGGCCATGATACCAACAACTGGTGGGCTTTGAAAAACAAGGTGCAAGACCTTCTCGAGGCAAAAGAAATTGAATTTGATACTCCTGAGATCCCAAATGTTGTCACCGCTCCTATACTAGTTGTTGGAAAAATTAAAACATCGAGAAAAAAAAGAAGAACTAAATAACAACACAAGATATTAACGTGGAAACTTCAAAACCAGAGAAAAAACCACGACCGTTGTTAAATGAAAATCAGCGAATATCACTATGTGAAAATTGTTATAACACATAGGCTATATTTAATCACTCCAAGGCTCCAATACACCCGCACTCTCCAAAGAAAATATTTAACTACCTCTCAAAATACTCTAAAACAAGAGTATAAGAGAAAATATAAAAAGTCAAATACAAACTTAAAGTGCTTTTGACCGGTGCAATTTGTAACGAAGAACTTGAATCCTATATATGACCTTTGATTCTCTCTTCCATCACTAAACTAAGCGATGTGGAACTTAAAAGAACATCAATCTTATATATAGCCTTGGACTCCCTATTTCTTCACAAAACTAACAGATGTGAGACTTCTTCAACATGTATATTTTCAACCAACCGCAACAAAGAGATGGGAGAACATTGAAAAAAAAAAGGAATGATTGAGTGGAAAGAATAAAGAGATTTAGGTGGAAAGCATTTTGAATTTTTTTTCAAATAACTAAAATTTTCAACTTTAATACCCAACTAACCAATTTTTCCCTATAATTTCCAATCTAACCATGTTTCAAACAAAAAAAAAAGGATTAAAGAGGAGGCGCCACTTAAATTGGCGCCTCTTATTTTTTTTAAACCTTTTCCAGTTACCTGTGGATTTACCTGCAAATTTGGTGTTACCTGTGAATTTTCTTGGATATTCAAGCGAATTTACCTATAGACAAACATGCGCAGGGAAATCCGCAAGTAAATTTGCAGGTAACATCAAATTCGCAGGTAAATCTGCAGGTAATTGAAAAAAGTAAAAAAAATAAAGGAGGCGCTCAATCAAGTGGCGCCTCCTCTTTAATCCGTTTTTTTTGTTTGAAACATGGTTAGATTAGAAATTATAGAGAAAAATTAGTTAGTTGGGTATTAAAATTAAAATTTTTGATTATTTGAAAAAAATTTCAACATTTTGGAGGTTTTATTTTTTATTTAAAAATCAAAATCTCTTTAGTTTAAGGAAACTAAAAAATTATATTGGAGAAGGTGTTGGATTTTAAAAGACTTAATCAAATTATTCAGATATGATCTATATTTTTATAGGATTTCAAATATAATTTTTGGAGGATTTTGGTTAGATTAATGGCAAGTATTTTTTGTAAATTTATTACAATTTTTTCTTTTAAATATTAAAGATTTCTCGATATTTTTAAAAAAATTATTTTTTTCTGAATTTCTATCTTACTCTTCCTCTTCTCCAAACACTCAAACAAACGAGTTATAATAAGATTTTTAGAGAGATATATGTAAGAAACTTTCATTACCCTTATTTGAGTTTTGGTTTGGTCTTTCAAGAATTGTAATTTTATTTTTAATTTTGCTTATTAGTAACACTTCTAGAGTGTTGTATGATATGTACCAGCTGTACCAACTTTAAAGGATCAATATAGTTGAAATACCCATTTGTATGGTCTTGAGAACTATAGGAATAAGAAGAGTTTTGGTGATAATACTGATATCGTAAACACATAATTAAAAATTATAGACACGATTGTATGGAGGGGGTTGGTTTAATAGGAAGTTAAGAGATCACATAGTTAGGTTGATCATGTAGGGTGGAGATCTGTTTTAATTTTTTTTTAGCTGTTTTGTTGATTGGATCCGTGAGATCTTCTTGCTTGTATCCTGTTTTTTAAATTAATATAAATTTTTCTTTAATTAAAAAAAAACCTTATTCGTCATCTATTACACTATAATTTTATCTCAAATTTTAAACTTTTTATATTATATTCATGTGGCCGTGTTTTTATTTTCTCCCTTTTTTTTCTCAACCAAAATTTCATGTGAGTGAGAACATTAATGTACCACCTTTTCACATGAATTATGCAATCATATGTAAAAGGTAGAAATAAATCATATGAATAACAGTTGAATAGCACTTTACAAAGGCAATCTGGTTTCATTCTAATAATATTTTCCATATATCTAGCTACACCAGTATATGTTGATTCAGAAGAAATTGAACAGAAAAGATGCCTAGAAAAGCCCAAACAAAGAAGAACTCTTAGTTCTACTTAGTTATTATATGATTAAGCTGCGTCTTCAATATTTTTTCTAGCAGCATCTAGTGCATTCTAAATCAGTTATCCGCAAGAAGACTTCTTCTGTCATTGCCCGCACAACCCATCATCCGATTCATTCTATTCTTCTGTAGATTCTTAACATTAATTAGATTTTTCTTCATCGCCTCAAGCTTCTTCCTCTTATGATGTCCTTTTTTCTTCGGATTCGGCTCTTTAATAACCTGAACAAAATCGATTTATAAAGTGAAGTGTGACATTTTTTTCATGCCATGCAAAATCAATCAAATCAATCGAAAACCATTTACTTACCTCGTTCGAGTTGCTTGTGTTCTCCGATTCAGATACCTCGCTTTCATCGCTGTCGTCAGTACTGTGTGACTTGTTGTGCACGGCAATGTTTTGATCCTCTTTCACTAGTACTTTCTCACCACCAGCACGCGTGTCGGGTAATTCTTGTTCTTTTTTCTCATCGCTTTCAGTGCAATATATTTTAAAACTCGGTGATCCTGGGCCTATACGTCTTCCAATATCATCCTCGTCTTCTTCTTCCTCATCGCTTTCTTCTTCCTTCTCCTCATGTTTTGTTTTAACTTTTTCATATAAATTTTCTTGTATAGATACCTCGTCTCTTTTCTTTTCAACATCTTTATCTATTATTCGATCGTGATCTTTATGTCCTTTCTCCTCCTCTTTCTCCTTCTCCTCGTTTCCGCATTCAGAAACTTGCAACGGAACAACTTGAGAGACTTTTTCAACCGCCACTGCACTTATTATTGCTGGCTGTTCTTTTTGCAGTTGAGTTTCTTCTGAAACTTCATTTTGATCGGAACACTTTCCTTCCGAGCTTCCATCATTGTCCTTCAAAAGTTGTTTCTTCGAAAGTTCAGCGTCTTCTCCTTGCACATTACTCCTACGTTTTCTAAACTCTTCGAATCTTTGTCCGAGAAGAGGACGAATCTTTGCAGGCAATGCATCTCCTCCATTTGGATTAATCAACCTGGAATTGTTACCTCCCATTATTAAGAGAAAAACAAATGGTTACAAAAAAATAATAATAATAAAAATCTCTTAAAGATTGGATTGTTACAACAAGGTTGATTTGGAATAATATGAAGATGTGAAAGGAGGTGGGGATTATGAAGAGGTTTTAAGAATGTGGCAGTTGAAGATTAACTAGATACAGTCTGTGTTAACAGATATTGACGCTCAATTATAGAACAAACAACAACAAAAAAACAGAAGAAAAAACTGAAATACTGATCCACATATACATTGTATATCTTGTTGGAATTTGGAAAGTGTCAATTTTAGGTACTAAGAACCAATACAACCTGTCTTGGACAAAGTTAACAATCAATTTTGTCTAAATAAGGAGTAGGAATTTTGATATACTAATTTTTAGGATAAATTAGTTCCAAAAAACTTCAGGATAAATTAATTTTATAATATGTTTAATGAGATTTTTATGTCATATTATAATTTAGATTTTTTATTAAATTATAATTTTTTTTTTATACTAAAAGTGTAAAAATGCAGTAAAATGATAAATTTTCAATTTTCAATTCTATTATTTATACATATGAGATTTATGATGAATAAGAATGTGATTTAGCAAATTACAATCACACTTTAAATAGATTTTTTTTTAAATTTCGAATATTAAGAATTAGAATTTCACTCTTCACACATAAATAAATGGATTGTCGCATATTAAAATATATAATCAAAAGCCATTGCACAATATTAATTACAACACATTTTCTATCTTGACATTCATACCTATGTTATAAGATCTACATCGTATAAATGGTTTATCGATGAACAATATTTTTTAATAATATGATATTATTTAAAAATAATATTTTTTTTTAAAATTATTTATTTTATAACATAAATATAATTACGTGTCATTAATCAATTTCACAATTATATTAATTACAAAAATATGTGTTATTAATCAATTATTTTATTTAATTCATTAATCATCTCCACTACTTTATTAACTATAATAAATATATACTATTAATCATGTTCTGATAATAAATTATAAATATATTAATCAAATTTTATACTTTATTAATCAATTTTATTTTACTATCTAATTTTTTTTTATGTTTGAAGACTCATTAACTAAATTATGACTGTATTCACCAATTTTATACATAATATTAACTAAATCTGAATTGTATTTAAATTTAATTTTTTCTATTAAAATATATATTAATCAAACTTTGAAGTATATTAGTCAAGTTTTAATATTTTATTAATCAAAATAATTTTGAACAAAAATACATGAAAAAGTCAAAATAATATAAAAACACTATTTACAGTATATACGTTGTATTGTCATTTTTGAGTGTTAAGATATCATTTTTCTATCTACAAATAGATAAATAAATAGATCATTGCATCTGCAAACATACAATCAAATGTCCCTCCACTATATTGATTAAACTCTTTTAAAATGACAAATAGAAATTAGTTTGTTTCTTTAATAAAAAGTTTTTATGGGACATATGATAAAGTTTTAATTGCCAACATCAAATTTTTTAGATCAGTTATCTTTTAATAAATTGGATATAATTTATATGACATCAATAAAATTAGGTCATATAAAGTCTACCCTCTATATCATATTTTAAGATTGTTAAAAATCAAAATACTATAAAAAGCATAAAAAAAGTTGACAAAAGATGGTTGGTCGCGAGGCATTCCTATGGTTGGCAGCCAGCGACAGTGCTACCAGTGATCCGGTAGTGTTGGGAAAGTTTGACTAAAGTGAATTTGGTTCGAGTGGTTTACGAATATCAAGTTTGATCATTTTGATTCTGAAATTCATTCGTAATATTAAAATAATATAAATTTATATTAAATTAGAGATACTTTAAATTAATATAATGGATATTATAAGAAATTTATAATTTTTTTATTTAAATAATTAACAAGTTGTGTTTTTGGCCCATCAATGTATCCTTGACTTTTAGGAGTTATAAATATGTATTTACTATTTTAATCATAAAATTTTTTAGAATGTAGTCTAAAAGACAGAGGTTGGATGTGACAATCTTAAGGGAAACTTAGAGATGAATGATAGAATTCTTATACTTGTGTTTTTTAAATTTGAGAAACTTTTGTAAATATTTAAGAGGATTTAGAAACACTTTTAAATAATTTGGATTTTGTGGGAGTCTAACATTACCATGAAAAAATATACGTTAAATGGTCGTAAAAATTTGAATACTCAAAGGTTCATAATAGTTTTCAACATACCTCATCATCTATGCAAATGAGGTTTAACAACCATGCAACATAAGATCCTATTGCCTCTCCCACCAATATTGCATCTGAAATATCGTCAGGCAAAGGTAATGGTGCATCCCTCTCTAAAGCAATATCAATTTATACTTTCAAAAATCCAGCAGGGAGCGGTTTATGGTGAAGTACTTCTCCTAAGGTGTTATGCCCTTTTCCCTTGTCAACCATGCGATAAGTCAGTGACGATAAATATAGTTGAAATGCCCTAAAGCAATAATAAATATGAAATTGTTAATGTTTATATATGTCAATTGTGCTAATTCATAATAATATATGTTACTTCGGGAATTTTCTGTTGGAAATCACAATTGATACTATCTTTGTCACTAGAATCCTTGAACTCTCAACGTTTCATTTCTGACATGTATCTTTCTTTGTCCTTTTCCAACTCACGAACTTTAGATTTTAATTTTTCTAACTCTTCCATCACTTCTTTATTGCTATGACCTTTCCTCTTTTGGTGGTTACCCAAAGATGTTTGAGTCACCGCGAATCCCTTATCCCTCACACGACCGATATACTCAGGAACATTTAATACTCAACTAAGTATGCTCCTGCAATCATGGTCTTCAGCTTGAGTTAAAGATTGAGATAGACTCTCCTGAAATTCATATGCATAGTGAAATAAATTAGTGGTGATTAAACTCATAAATTCTGTATTTTAATAAACTTTTGATTTAATTATAGGAATATTGATATACTTACACATTTCTCATAAATTTGAAGCACATCTTCCTTAATAACTTCATCCTTACCCACCCGGACAGCCTTCCACAGAACATGTTCCAGAAGAGATGTTTCTTGACTTTTCTCCTCTTCTAACTACACATTAAGAGAAATAATAAAATCAATAATAACGCATGATGAACAAGTATATCATAGCATTTTTATATACTTACCAATCTTTGTTGTAAGCGTGCATATCCCATACACCCTTTTCTGTACGGATACATGGGACTTGATGCTCATTGGCGATTCACGCCACTCACATCCTGAAAATCCGAGGTTCTTCTTTTTTCTTTGAAGGTTTCCCATTCTTCAGGAGAAATCAAGCCTGGATACGCCTTTGGAAGTTCTGCATCGAGAAAATTGTTATCGGCATCCCTAAGAAACCCGTTTGTCAAAAAAGATTGAAACCCTCTTAGTCTTTTTCCGGCCAATTAAAGACAATATGATTTACGATCATCATCAATGTTAAAATACCTTTACAAAAAAACATACATAGAGTATGTCAGTAATTTATAGACATAAGCGTCAACAAAAACGAAAGACGTTACATATGGCACATGTATTTCAGTCCATATTTTTCTTTAATGGGTTTCAGCTCATGCCTTCTCCAATCATCATAAGTGATTGGAACTTCTCTCCTCACAACAGAACTAATGTAACTTGTCAATATTGAACCGTTAGGCTCAATTAGTTGTTTGTCTTCATTCTAATGTACGTCAAATTTGATACCTTTATCTCTTGCATGAACGATTGACTTCATAATTCTTATTCCTCGTCTAATATCATTCTCCATATCACGAGCTAATTTATTTCCATCATTATTAGAAGCGGGATGTGATTTTTCCTCATTAGTAGCCATTTGACCTGTAATATTAAAGAAAAACATAAATACCATATAAAATTAAAGTAGCATTGAATGAATATGTAAGTCTCAGAGTGCCTAAGAGGGGGGGGGGGGGGGAGGTGAATTAGGTCTTATAAAAATTTATTCGGTTTTATGAGAATGCTTGGTAGTAATTTTTGGTTAAGTGTTTGAAGGTTTTGATTATATCTTTATCTTTTCCTGATTATGGTGATGAAAGCGATAAATGCGGAAAAGTAAAGAACACAGTGATATATCCTGGTTCCCCTCACAATTCGAGAGTACTCCAGTCTCCTTTCCAACACGAAAGAGATTTCACTATAGTTAGAATGATTGTACAACCTATGCTTACTATCTAACCTATAGGATGATCAAAGGTTCTTAACACCTTTAAGACCAAACAAACACTAATGTGAATGAAGAACAATCCTCTTCAAATCACAACACTTACTTCCAACAATCCTGGATAGTAAGGGAATAATTTCTTTAAGTAATACAATGATTTATTTGAAGTATATGGAGAGCTTTATCAATCTTCCATTGATCTTCTTCTTCAAGATATAAACAACTCTCAAACAATGTATATAAATATTCACAATGTATGTATGAAACTTGTAATGATAATGAAAGTGTATATGGCAAGTTTCACAAAATTATGAACACATGAAAGTATAAATTCAAATGTGAATGAATGAGAAAATTGTTTATTGAAGAAGGTTTTTGTTAATTTGAAAATTGAAGCATTGTTTTTGAAAAAAGAAAATCTGCATCATTTTATAAAGTCATAAGAACCTCTTCATTCATGCCAATTCATATGAAAAGTTGCAATGCATTCATGAAAAGATACTACTTGAAAAATGTTTAAAAAACAAAAGAAAAGCTGCACTGGTTCGCTAGGAACAGGTTCCGACACTGACAGAACCCGGTTCTTAGTGAACGTTATAAGTCAGATTTCAAAAATTATTACGCAGGAACCGGTTCCCCTATTGGTACAACCCGGTTCCTGGTACAAAAACCAGGGACATGTTTTTGAACAAGGTCTGGAACCCGGTTCCCTGTTAGGGAGGAACCGGTTCCTAAAGGGTTATTTTCAAAAATACTTTTTGAAAAA